TGTATGTATGTATGTATGTATGTATGTATGTATGTATGTATGTATGTACGTATGTACGTACGTACGTATGTATGTATGTATGTATGTCTGTAAGTATGCATGTAAAATGATAAATAACACAAGACATGTGCGTTTACTAAAGTGATAGAACATGGGAATGTGTAAAACAGTTTTTTTAAAATCTAAGCAGAAATATTGCTGAGTTAAATTTGAATTATTATTGAAATGTAAGAAAAAATATCACAGTTGCAGTACAAATAAGAAGAAAACATGATCTTCAGACAATAGGTAGTTGAAAGCCTAACCTTTATTTAACCTGTCAAATCCTATTGAGTCCACAAATCTCATTTGCAAGAGAGGCCTGGGCCTGAAGGCAGTCTATGTTTTTGGTGTAGACAAATAAAAATTAATAAATAAAAAATAAATAACAATAAGAATCAGCTTTTTTTCTGTTGCATTTTTGCTGTCCTTGATTGTACTTCCAATAAAGTCACATTTTCTCCTCTTCATTGATATAAYTGTTGTCCAGGTCATATCACAGCAGATAAGCTTTAAATAATAAATAAAGGGTCAAACAAAACTTACAGGTCTGTTGTTTCCTTATTACTGCTTATATCTGCTCAACCTTGACAGATGAAATGAACGTCCTGCTGACTGCACTGAATAATTTAGCAGCTGAAAAGGTGATATTCAGATGATCCTGTAACGAGTTTGTGAGGAATGATCGACATGTGATGAAAAACACAGCTTCATGTAAATAACTAGGTCCATTAGGTTGTTGATTTCCAAACACTTCAAGGTTATTAAAGCTGCAACAAGTGTGTCATTGGATTTTAAAAATGCCTAGTTTAATATAAGATAAAAATTTAACTGAAGGAGCATTGTTTTCAAATTACTTTTGATATGGACACTAAACTTGGGTTTATCTTTATGCTTTCAATTATGTATATTTGTTTATTGGGTTCAAAACTTTAAAAGTTTAAAGTTACATCTCTTTACTCCTTAATTTTCTCTGCAGCTCTACAGTTTCCATCAACACAGAGGGAAGCTTTGATTGCTCTAAAATGAATAAGATGACTTCAACCACCCATCCATCCATTTTCCTGCTTATCTGTGGTTGGGTCACARCATCAACAGGTCCTACAAGAAAACCCAAACATCTCACTAACTGAAGACAGTGTCGGCTTCCAMGGTGTTCCTATAGATMAAATCTCTTCASTGAGTTCTGGGTCTGACTTRGAGTCTCCTAGTAATCAGAAAACACTCTGAGGGAGGCGTTCAGAACAACCGTCTGAGGAACAGCAGCTCTACTCTGAGCTTCTCCTGGATGGARCTCCTCAGCTGATCTCAGAGAGTCCACAGATAAATCTCATTGCAGATGCTTTTATCTGGAATCTYATTCTCTCAGTCACGATCCATACCTACAAAGGTTAGAACTTAGATGGATCAGAGAGCTTTGCCTTTTTTTCATCACATTATTTGCAGCAGACTGTAAAAATGCCCTTATAAACAAGGGTCCAAACTCTTTGTCCTGTTGTAGATTTGCTCACATCAAAACAAAGGCATTCCTGCCAACACAAGCTGTGGCATCAGCAGGAGAAACAAACTCATAACATCCTTTTATTTTCATCTCTAGACTAAAGTCCCTGTAGACTGAAATAATAACTATTGGACTTTGCCAACACAGTTAYTGTAAGTCAATGTTATTCTGCCTCAGGCAAAAGAAAAGAAAATTGCTTTGTTGCAACAGGTAAATTTGTGACAGGATACATGCACATTTTTGTGGTTATTTTGCACGCTGTCAGTTTTGTTCTTCCAAATAAAAGGTGGGCTGTGGTTAGCTSTAATTAATGAAGAGTGAAAATGTGAAATATGCTACTAAAGCCAATTAAACAGCGGAAAAAACATGATTAGTCATTTTTTTCTCATATGTAGGACAATTTTGAAACCATATCCAGTTATTTACATATACTACTAACGTTCTTCCTCAAAAACCATTTTAATAACCCTACACCTCCCCTCCCACACTCCCCAGCCTTCACCACTAAAATTTAAAAGTAAATGTATTGATTTAAAATGAGCATCTAGATTTTCTGTAAGGACATTTATTAGATGACCTCCATCTCCCCAAAAATGCAGAAATGACTATATTGTATTAAAATAATYATTTTATGTTAAATTTAAGCTGCACTTGTCCAGCTGTTTCAGTTTATATACAGTACATATGTCAAAGGTGTCCAAAACTTTTCTCCAAAATGAAAATCTATCTGAGGGCTGCGGCCAAATGCAATAATATAATTCATGAAATAGGAATACTTCTTAAGTACAATCCTTGTATTTTAATGATTATGTCCTGCTGGAGTGTGGCATGATTTGTTTGTGTACAAACTAATATGGTATAAGAATTTTATACATTTATACTTCTCATTCAACCACAATTAAATTCACTCTATCTAGGAGGCACAATTTATACGGATAGTATTTATTTTTTACAATAACAAGCTGGAATGAAAAAAAAAGCAAAAATGAAATAAAAGTAACAACTTTCTACTTCTTGTCTTTTTTTTAAATTTAAGGAGTAAAAAGTACAGATAATTGTGTGAAAATGTAAGGAGTAGAAGTAAAACGTTGCCTGAAAAATAATTACTCAAGTAAAGTACAGATACCCAAAAAATTCTACTTACCTAATAAGTACATCAACAAAGTATTTGTTCTTAGTTATTTTACAACTCTCCATGTACTGTACAGTATTTCTACACATTTTACCACTATAGCCTATTTTCACTAGGGGGTAAATCATCACAATGTGATATTGTATCAATTTGTTCAGATGACGATAAAATGTTTCTCAATATCACAAAGTCTGTCATGATACGGTTTTAATTCGATTCAATTCCCAAGTCTGCGATCGATATGGTGCAATACATATGCCAATGATTGTGTTATGGACACATAATGATGATATGGTTTGATGTTTTTATTTTTGCCTTGATGTAATTGAATCATTAATCATTTAATCGATATGCAGATCGATGTATTGTTACACTGGAAATTAAAGCGCACTAAGACATGGGAATCTTCCAATGGGCTTGAACGCAGCATGGAGCATCCTGGGAGAGAGAGAGAGAGAGAGAGAGAGAGAGAGAGAGAGAGAGAGAGAGAGAGATGAGCCTCAGTGAAGAGCAGCTCGCTCCTCTTTCCAACACACCACGCTCCACGTCCCTCACACTCACACACATACGAGCCAAACAACGGGAGCAGCATCAGCCCGAGCTGCCCGCTGCGGCCGCCGGTGTGAGCACCCACTCGCTCCTCGCCTCCCCCCCTCAGCACAAAGCATGGAGAGAGCTGCCTGAGAGAGAACCGGAGCTGCCTTCTCTGCACATAAAGGAGATCCACGAGTGGAGGACTGGAGAGCTCGTCCCTGAGACCGTGGACAATTAATCATCTCACACAGGAAGGGGTAAAGGCGATTGAGAGACTCCAGTCCAGCTGCTCCTGGAGGAAGAGGAGGAGGAAGCTGCGCGTTTGGAGCCGGAGGAAACGGCCACAAGTGATCGGAGCGCCTGCAGGCTTGTAGATGTGCAGAAAGCACGGAGCAAGTTCAAGTCCTGGGTGAGTCCATCTTTTTCCTGCACGACCAAAAAAATAAAAAAATAAAAAAATAAAACAGAATAAACCCTACACGTGGTGCTGATCTGTCCCCTCTCCTCCTGTGAATTATTCCTCACTCTCACCAACCCAGAGGATCTGATCATCCCTCAGCCCTCATGGTGCAGTCCCGACTGATCGATTTTCTCTCCAACTCAGATGGACATCGACTCTCGTTACCTGTGCTTTTCTGTTGTCTTGGCTGAGAGAGTGGGCTTCTGAAGCCACTCTGTTTACATGTGTGAGTGTGAGAGTCTTTGGTGAGCAGGTTTCCAATAGGATTTAATGATCTAAATGGTATGTGGGGACAGATAAGGCAGCCTTTGATCGATCCCTGCAGTTATTTCAGTGTGACCACATGACTTTTCCCTGCTCCTGCTCTTATTAGTCCGTTTTCAGTGCAGCATCCAGACCTCTGATGGATGAATCCAAAGGAATTCATACCTTGTTTGTCACAGACTCATTGCACTCAAGACAATACYAATAAGCAGCAGCAACAATTTAAGACACAACTTTTTCCTCGAAGTACATTTTTAWTACTATTTAGTGGCATTTCTTTTATTGTGCATGCATTGACAGAAAGATGACATAAGTGTATCAGAAAACTACTGTGTCTTTGTAACATTTCTCATTTTACAACTTGGTACATGAGATCCTGCAATATCACCACATTCTTGCTCCATTCAAAGGTCCTCATTCAGTGCAATTTGAAAGCAAGATTTGAAAGCAAATTCTGTACCAATCACCACATATATTTTGCCTACCTACAAAATTAGCCGAAGTAAGTAAAAATGAAAAAGAATAATGGCGTCCAATGAAGGAGTTGAAGTATCTTGGGGTTTTCTTTACAAGTGAGGGAAGAAAGGAGCGTGGGATTGACAGACGGATCGGTGTTGTGCTGAAGTGGGAGCTGAGCTGTAAAGMGAAGCTCTCTGYTTACCTGTCGATCTACGTTCCTACCCTCACCTATGTCCATGAAATTTGGGTAGTGACTGAAAGGACAAGATTATGGATACAGGTGGTTGAAATTAGTTTTCTCTACAGGGCAGCTGGTCTCTCCSTTATGCCTGGTTCACTTGACAAGATTTTAAAATTGTCGTTGGATTTTCAAAACCAGAGAGACCCCACACATGACAATAAAAACCATAGATAAAACAGTCTTGGTCCTACAGTGGGTGGTGTACAGCCACATGGCAAAGACAACACACATATTTCTTTCACAAACATTCAGATATCAGATGGGAAATCTCGCAAAACTGCTTGTGAGTTTAGAGAAAATAAACACAGCGGAAGAAGCGATGGTGACAATTTGTAGACTATTTTTAAAGGAGAAAAAAACAAACATCAACGACAGTCCAATATGTTGAATACCCCCAATTTGGTCCCGACATCTTTCCAAGCCTTGATCATTCTTGCCACACCACACACAGCAGGACCATCTCATAAGATTATCTTTAGAGCCGTCACCGTAATTGGAACATGCTTACGATTGTCAGAAGGGTAAAATCGACATAATTATCTTGCAGTGTGAACCAGGCTTTAAAGATATAGTGAGTGAGAGAGAGAGAGAGAGAGAGAGAGAGAGAGAGAGAGAGAGAGAGAGAGAG